CCCATCCTCTGAAACTGTAAGAAATAAATTTAATTTCTTCGTAAGTTACCCAGTTTTGGGAATTCTGTTATCAGCAACAGAAATGGACTGACAGTCCTCCTTTTATTGACTCTTATTTCACACTGCTCAGCACTTCATACTGTACTGAAAAATGCATTCTAAGATACATTCTCACAACACTAGGGAGATGCAGGGGTGGAGGCAAGGCTTTCTCTATATGAAAACTGTACTTAGAATTTGATATTAAGTAAATTTTAAAATCAGCACTTTATCATGGAAGTCAATCCAAGAGATGTTCTCTAGAGATTTATAAACCTATAGATATCATAAAGGATGTTAGTCAGTTTTCTTTCCAATGTCAAAGCAGCACAAGGAGGATTTCTTCCTGAGAAAAGGAAAGGATCCAGAAATCTATTCAGAGAGTGTTAATTTGGTTGGCATTATCTCAGCTCTCTCTTACTTTCTCCTCTTAATTGCTCTCCACACCCAAAAAACCACTACTGACCTGAGCTGCCAGGTTCTGATGATAAATAACCACCCTCCAGTGAACCTTTAACTATATGCCAAGAGGAGCAGAGCACTGGAAGCGCCCAGTTCTGATGTGAGGCCTCTGCCCACCTTGGCACACCGAGACACATCTTCATTAAGCCAACGCCCTACATGCAGCCCAGCAGCTCAGCAGCTTCATGTTCTATGGTCGCCTTCTAGAAACTGAAAGGCCAAACCACAGGGGCAGCTGCAATTTGGTTTGCACACCTGCCGAGGAATTTTTTGACGTTGTTTAAAATCTTACCTTTGCACTTTCCCAGTCGATAATAGTGGGAGTGACTTACATAGTTATTTTTTAACAAAAACAAAAATACAAATGTAACTATGAGTGCAAGGCCAATTTTAAAAGGGTACCCCCTGTACTTTGTAAATGACAGCTTCACCTCTGGAACCCTCCAACTTTAAGGCATGAACTAATGGTAGCAATGAGTGGCTTTTGTATATTACACTTAGAACAAACAGGAAAGAAAATATACACGTACATACTGGCTGGTTAATATCACCTGCACTATGACTCAGAAATCCTGCTCCTAGGTATTTATTCAACAGAAATAAAAATATATGCCCATGAAAAGACATGTACAAAAATGTTCACAGCAGCAGTATACACTGGAAACAACCCAAATGTCCATCAACGTGAGTGGATCAGTAAACTATGGTACATCTAACACCACTCAGCAATTCAAAAATCCAGGCTACTGATAAACACAACATGGGTGAATCTCACAGGTACCATGTGAAAGACAATGGACAAAAAAAAAAAAAAAAAAAAAAAATATACCACATGATCCCATTTACATGAAGTTCCAGAATAGGAGAAACTATCTATAGCAAAAGAATTCAGAATAGCAGGTGCCTTCCTTTGTGGGGAGGGGATGGGAGAAGTGGGATGGGCAGGGGTAAGTTTCTAAGGGGACAGAAATGTTCTATGTCTGGATCAGAGTGGTGGCTACAAAATTCATGGAACTGCATGCACATGGCTGCATTTGATGGTGTGTAAATTACACCTTATAAGGCTGCTGCAAGATTTGATGGGTGAAAAGATTAGCTCATCACTTTTGAGGTGATTCTGCAAAGGTCACACAGACATCTCAGAGCCTGAAATACCACACAGTCAGGACACCCGAAACCACTGGTCAACAGCCCCTGGTTCTCAGGCTTGGGGCCTCAGTTTGGCTGCCTAACTTGGACTGCCCTGTGGACCCGAGGAAGATAGGAAGAGGCAGGAGGACCCCAGAGGCCAAGTGGTCTCCAGGGCCATGGGAGCCAATATTTAGGGAGGTGGGTGGTGCTGCAGATAGAACCAGCTTGGCCTGCTCCATTCCCCATCATCAAGCAGAGGCGGCAGCAGGAGGCCTGGACATGCCTGACATCCACCTGCGGGCGGCGTCCTGCCAACGATGGCAAATGCACCGACCCACACCGGGTCTGTCAGGGCAGAGCTCCCCATACCCATGAAGGGGTCAAATGTGCTCCAGACCCCCAAAGAAGGCTCCAATCATTAGCCTATTTCAGGTGTTGTTCCCTGTACCTAGGGCCACGTTAGAGGGGAGGAAGGGTTTGTCAGGATTATCATTCTATGGACTTGACCTTCCCGCACATGCGTGCGTGTGTGCGTGTGTGTGTGTGTGTGTACAGGGAAGGGCAATGACTGTTACTGTTAGAATTATCGATTTAACACAGAACCCCTTTCACATACCCACGTGGGCTCTTCCTACCAAAACCTGGCAGGGCTGCCCATTCTCACCCCTCAGTGCTCACCTTCAATGCCACTTTCTCAGGGACGTCTTCCTTGAGGCCTACCAGCTGGAGCCCACTCTGACCCTCCCTGTCATCTCCTACCACTTTCCCAAGACAGTTCCTTCGTCGCCCCCTCCAGAGTACAGTGATCTGTCTACTTGTTACTGCCTGACTTCCCCACTCACTCTAAGGTTGAGGAGAGCGGCGACTGTGGCTGGCTGGTTCTCCACTGGGAAAGGAAGCACCTGTCCTGGCACGTAGTAGGCCTCAACCGATACGTGCAGAATGGGCAAATTCTATTCCTGTTACCCAACAAACAAAAATAAAGCAAACAAACACACATAACCCCCCTCCCCACTCTTATTCCTGTAGGTTCAGTGCAAATGCCCTACAGCCCTGCAGTCCATGCCTGCCTCTAGGAAGGGCTTCTCCGGCGAGCTGGACTGAGGCTCTTTGTAATCCACGACATACTGTCAGCAACTGAGACGATAATGCTGAGAAGGGCGATTTCCCACTTTGTTTAAAGTACCAGTGTCTGTGGAAGAATAGGAGGAGATGTAGGTCACACGAGACTGACCAGGAAAATGCAGTTCATGAGCAACGTCATTCTCACGACGTCATTCTCCTGTAATGGCAACATGGGCCATTACGGGAGGCACAGGTGGCAGAGCCAATGTGGTGAAACGAAAAATGACGCACTCGGAACATGAAGTGAGGAGGCAGGACGCGTATGCTGACTTGGCAAGTCCCCCAGCACACCGTCCAAGGAGGAAAAATTACACGTGTGCACCTGCGCGCACACACATACTGTGGCCCGGAACCTCAAAGCTCACGATGAAATCCTTTAAGTAAGAAAAAATCAGATCTGGCACCAGCCTGACACCAGGCCTATAAAAGGGGAGGTCACTATTATCACCAGTGCACGTCTACAGGAGCGCTCCCTGCCAAACCCCAACATCAGTCAGAAACAGCGCACTCTCTTATTCTCCTAGAAATCTGCTGAACTGTTGGCCCGAAGAATCATTTCCATGTCCTCCCCCCAGGTCGGAGGCATGTGGGATTCAGACACAGCCAGCAGAGTGAACAGAGCCCTGGGCAGGGCCTTCTGGCCTTGGCCCCCCATTTCCTGTCTGTCAACTGTGAGAGCCTCACTTGCACTCCCCCCCCAGGTCGGAGGCATGTGGGATTCAGACACAGCCAGCAGAGTGAACAGAGCCCTGGGCAAGGCCTTCTGGCCTTGGCCCCCCATTTCCTGTCTGTCAACTGTGAGAGCCTCACTTGCACTCCTTGAACCACAGTTTCCTGCCCAAGTTACTTAATAAATAAAGTAAACTTCAATGAATAAAGGAGTGAGCCACCTACAGAATCCATATTCTTACATGAGTGATCACCTTTCAGTTGCCCCCTTCGACATTAGGCAATGTTTCTGGTCGTTTACTGAACACTTATTGTGTGCTAGCCTCTGGGGAAGAAAAAATAAGCCCTGTTTTTTTAAATGAACAAGTGGCAGAATCAAAAAAAAAGTAATTATCCATGGCTATCGTTTTGCTTTCTGTGTTACGAGTTGGGGACGGGCATGGGACAGTGAGGAGTAGGGGCAATTTTGAGCTAAAAGCCTTTGGAAATTCATTCCGACTCAATGTGGCATATTAGAATGGCCTCTTAACTATTACAAGAGGACAAATACTGAAATTACAAATACCAGATTACGAGAAGGTACATACTGAAATTATTCAGCAAGGGCCCCAGTTCTGCCCAGTGTTTCCCTGACACACAGCTGAGAACTCCAGCCTCTGAGTAAGGATCTGCATGCAGACACAAGAGCCTAGAAGAGAAAAAAGACTCTCCCACTCACTGCTGAGAACAGCATGGGCTGGCAGCACAGGAGGGAGGGAACCAGGGAGAAAGTGCTCGGCTGTGCCCGCCCCACCGGGCCTGGCTTATAGGCCAGGATGCAGAAGGCAGGGGGTGGTGGGGGCATTCTGGGCTGTTGCCCTCCCACCCGAGGCTCTGTGTGGCAGGCCTGGTCAACCGGTTTCCCTGCAAGCCTGGATCTCCCACAGAGGCTGGGCCTGTCAGGCCCACCGGTGTCCGGAGAAACGGCAGCCCTCAGTGGTGGGAAATGCTGGTCAGCCAAAAGCAGAAACCAAAATTACACAAAGGGAAAAACAGGAAGAGTCCATGAAATAAAAACAGCAAGAAAAGGTTTTGCACTGAACACCCACAGTGTCCTACTTTCACTTTCCCAAGAGACAATTCTGTCATCCCCAGCCTGGTGCCAAACGTTTGCTTAGAATGCACTTGGAGGTCTACAGTCACCAAGGAGCTCTACACAGACTGGACTTGAACTCAGCACTCCCAGAGATGGGCCTGGTCCGCCCTTAGTGAAGTCTGTGCATGTATAATCTTGGACCTGCCCCCTCAGAGATGAGGGTCTCCCAGCCTGAGCTGGTGGTTTTCACAGACACTGGCACCCCAGCCATCCCAGGCCGACATTCACAGGCCAGGTGACCAGCAGAACCCCAGATACCAGGCAGATGCTGGTCCTTCCATAAGCAACTACACTGGGGAGCTCCTCAAGAAGGTCCCCAGGCACAGCAGTCTCGGAACAAGCCCCCAGCCCCAGTCAGTTAATGCAAGCGAGCCACCTCCAAGCCCCTTGAGGGTGGCTGAGGGATAAGCAAGCTAACCATCCGTCCAAGCCTACTCACCATGTATGAAGGAAAGATCAGAACACGTTTGTGCTTGCCACAAGGCCACTGGGGGTCATCCAGGAGATTTGGGTCATAGTCCATAAAGTCTCCCAGGTCACTACCTGAAGATCACATGCAAAATGATAATTAGGGGCCCTGGACCCTCCGAAACAGAGGCAGCTGGGAGAATGCTACGTATAGTAAGACAAAGAAAGGCGGCTTCAGGGCATTTAGCTCAGTGTCACACTGCTCATTTGGACTTTTAGGAGATGGCTCTGCATGCCAATGAAGTATATCTCCTTGCAAAAGATTCACTAAATTCTTAACATTCTGACTTTTTTTCCATTTTAGAAAATTATGCGTTAATCTCCCTGACCCAGGAGAGCACAAAACTTCACACAGCTGCCAGGAACAGGGAGCACTCACAGATTACAGAATGTGGCCCCCAAAAGACTTATGTTCTGTTCTTGTAGATTAAATGAGTAGACTCAAGTCATGCCAACTGGGAAGCACAGTTTGGTATGAATGCTTCTGGGCAGGCTATTGTGTCTGAATGAACACAAATCAGATGGCCACCGATGCACACAGCTGTGAATGACCAGAGGTGGCCGCAACATCAGGACAAGGCTTCAGAACTTGGCACTTGGACAGACATGAGGCATTCACATTCATCTTGGGTTTCTCTGATAGCAGGAGTAGTGCTGTTGCACAGAGTTTTCTCCCTCGTGTCAATTCTTACAAAGGTTTGTATAGTGAAGCTGGAAGCACTCAAGTCTTCCTTCAGCTGCCAACTCAGCTCACCCACTGTGATAATCACAAGGAAATCCTCACCTGATCCTGTACTTCAGGGCCCAATTATTTGGGAGGGAAAAAAACCCCAAACTTGAGCACTATAAAAATGTGGGACGGAGCAGGTCACGGTTGAGCCGCGGAGCTGCGTGCTGGAGAAGCTGGGAGATGCAGCCATCTCTGCGTGGTGCGGATAGCCTTGGCGTTTCTCTGGATGGGACCTTAGGGGTTCGGCGACTGAGGCATCTAATTAGAGAGCAGGTCATCTGTGGCCCAGTCGTGAGCCTGTGAGACCGGAGACCAGGCTTTCCCAAGTCATTTCACCTATGGGATGAGCTGACACTCTGCATGTGTCAGAGAGAGCCATCCACACTGCAAACTGTGGCACCTCCCTCCATGAGCGCCCCAGGCCCAGCTGGCCCCAGGTTACCTGTGTCAAGGCTCCCCTGGGTGCTGCTCGCCCGGCCGATAGAGAGGCTGCGGTGGCTTAGGTTACGGAACTGGGAGAAGGAGGAGTTGGAGTCTATAGTGTTTCTCCGGGCTCCGAAGGCATTTGTGGGCAACAGAAATTGAGTATAGGAAACGGTCTGAAAGATGAAGACGAAAACAGGCCAGTGATTACTTCCAGGCAATGCTAGGTTTGCATTCTGCCCAAGCTATGATGGCCACCCCAAGTTCAGGCCCACTTTCTCATATTTGCAAATTCTAAAAGCCACTGAGATCTCAGAACTGATTGGGGTGTTGTGTAATTCAGGAGGCACACGCCGTATTTCATTTTATAATCCATCAGGTGCAGAATTCCAGAACACATCAGGCCCCAAGAGTCTCTGGCAAGGGGTGTGGACTCCTATCACGTTTCCCTGGCAGATGCTATTTATGATGCTCAACTGTGTTCCACCCTCCCTCACTCCTAAGAGAACACTCAACCTTCAGGAACAAAGGCGGAGCAAGTGCATTTCTTTCCACTTGCTCGGGGAAGCGCCTCGCATGCATGCTGCCTCCACTTTGAGCTCAGGGTATGTGGAGGGGAAGGTTGTTTGCTATACCAGCAGCCTCACCTGCACGCAAACTTCCTTCGATGGTCTCCCCAAAGAAACACTTGCATCGTTACCATAATAGGCTTTGGGAAGATTTATGAGGACTGCCTGGACCCCACACAAAGTCAAGTTCATCTTTCAACATGTCACTCCTGAGACTTCAACCTAGCAGCTCACGCATTGTGGATAAAAGAAGGATGTGACAGCCCTGCTACTTGGTGGTCATGGTGTAAGGCTCAGGGACTATCAGCTTTTCAGACCATGGGAAGCTAAAACACTTTCTAGTAGCTAGAATGTTGCTGACACCACCAGTTTACTGGATGTTCAAACCACCACTCCACCCTGGAACATGCATGTATATGTATGTGTGTGCCCCTATGTATGTGTGTGTGAGATGTTCATAAGTACCGCACACCCAGCTGTAAACAGCACAGGCAGAGAAATACTTGTGCTCTGACAACTCCTGCCATGCTGCTACTCAATCCCTGGCTCAATGGATTTCCATTGGCACGCCATGGGAGCTGGGTGGGCTGGCATCAGGAATGTCCATTCTGGCATTATGCCCTAGACCTTGCTTCCTCCACCTTGAGAGAGGCTGGGGGTCTGTGGTGCTGCCTCTGCTCCCTGACCCTTGCGGTGTCAGCACACACTTGGTGACCAAAAGCCAGGCAGCCTTACCTTCCCGTCAGCACCCAGCTCCACGCCTTCAAGACCAATGATCTCCTTCAAGCTCATGGCGCCTGTGGATTGTCTCCCTCCATCCAACTTCAAATCCCTGGGGAGGACAAGCCAGAGGAAGAAGTGTTTTTGTGTGCACTCCAAAGAGCCATGATGATGTTTACTGCTGAGACCCCACAGTCATACTAAGATGACCAAGTGGGCCCTGAGGGATGGGACGACCCTTTGTCCCTCCTTGGGGGCTTGCCAGGCTCAGAAGCTGATGGTTTACAGATATCCCTTCCTCTTCAGCAAGGCCCCTGCATTCTTAGAGGTGGCCAGTTAACAAGAAGCCAGGGAACTTTCCCTGAGCACTGCAGGACAGCAGCTCCCTTGGGCTCTAGCTGCTGGTTTTTTTCAAAGCTGGGTGAGACCGCCTCTCTTTGCCACTCCCCTTTATTAGAAGAGAGAAATAAATTCTTGTCCTAAACAACTATCAGGTTTATTGCTGGTAATGAAAGAATCAGTGCCACAATAGTCACCTCAGCTACTTTGCCAGGCCACCTAAAAAATTTAAATATCTTTTTATAGAAGAAGAATCTCCAGTAATAACAAGCATTTATATAGCATTCCTCAGTTTCCAAAGACTGTCACGCATATCTCTGGTGCTTTAAGATGACCCTATGAGTTGGGCATTACTGCTATCATCCCATTTTAGAGGAGGAAACTGAGGTTCAGAGTGGGTAAATGGTTTTCCAAGGTCACCAGGGCAATTGGCTGTAGAGGCTGGTTTTGCATCCACTGTTCTTCCTGGGACATCACACTGCCTTCGAGGTCAAGACAGGTGCACTGCGACTGTGTTCAGGTGTAACTGCACATATTTTCAAAGGACACCCCCTCCCAGGAATTCTTAAATTTTGCTGCAGATTAAAATTGCCTGGAGATCTCTGACAAACTGCTGTCTGGCCCCCACCCCCAGACATTCCGAATTAGTCAGTGTGGGGTATGACCTGGGCAGATGGCACTTTAAATGTTCCCCATGTGATTTCAAATTGTAGCCACGTTTGGGAACGACTGTCTTGCAGCGTCTGTCTCTATGCTACAAAGTCTTGCAGGTCACAGCCACCTCAGACACACAGTGTTCTTGCTGTGTGGCCTGCATGGAGGCACCATATTCAGGGGCCACCTCCTACAACCTAAGCAAGAACAATGAAATATAAAGGCCAGACTCTACCGACCATAGGTAAAGTAATCAGGGAAAAAAGAGAGTCAGGTGAGTGGGGAGAAGAGAGAAAATGCGGCCAGCTCCAAATGTGGAAGAAAAGACAGATATTGCTGAGCCCCCATCCTAGTCTAGGGGCATTCTGTGGATGACCTGGCTCCCCTAACCTACCTACACACAGTCTGATGAATGACAGTTTTCAAAATAAATACCCAAGACCAGCACCCAGTACGTGATGCATTTAAAGCAGTCTCTTTGGGAGGCCATGGTACTGCCATGCTCAGAACATCTCTAGAGTCCCTTTTGGAATCGAAACCAAAGTCATTCAGGAAAAAAGCAAACAACCAATCCCTGTTCACACCCACAGGGTTATGTGCCCCACAGCTCCACCTGCTACAAGAGTGACCCAAGGCTACGCTCAAAAGACTTCTTAAAGCAATTAAGGATGGAGGCGATCAAGGGATTACTCCAGGGCACTAACAAGGGGGGATGCCTACAAAGCAAGAAACTGAACCAGGCAATGAGGCGGAAACACCTGAGGCGGGTCGGGACCAAGGGGACTGTGGCAGAACGGGGTGAGCTGGCGTGGGAAGCGCAGCGTCTCCCGATTCACTGCAGGGCCCCCAGCACAGACTTCCTCCTTCCCCAGCGCCAAACCCAGCACGCTGTTCCCCAGATTCCCAGCTCCAAAACAATCTTCTCCTTGTTCCCACTTTGCCAGACAGAGAGTGTTATTTAGGGCCAAAATGAAGAGAAAAGCAGGGAATATGTCTGTGGGGTGAGAAGACCCAGGGCACGCTGTTCCCCAGATTCCCAGCTCCAAAACAATCTTCTCCTTGTTCCCACTTTGCCAGAGAGTGTTATTTAGGGCCAAAATGAAGAGAAAAGCAGGGAATATGTCTGTGGGGTGAGAAGACCCAGGGAAGTAGAGAGTGGTAAGATAAGCTGATGTCAAGAGGCTCCCAGAGGGAGAGCGGGCCGCAGGCAGGAGCAGTCTCATGCCATTTTCGTGTCCCCTCTACTCGACATCTGATATGTGAAGATGCTGCCAGAAGTGTTCGCCGAGTGCAGGGCGTCCGGTCCTCTGCTGTCTCCCCGGTACTGGTTTATTAAGATGGCCCAGAATTGGGTGTTTTTCCACAGTGCCCTGTTCACCTGTCTTCCATTTGCTCCCAGGATCACCTCTTCCCTGGCCAGCTCGCTGTTAAATGTCCACATCAGAGTGAACAGAACCAAGCCAGCTGTGCCTCTGCCCACACCCCCTTCTTGGCGTATCCCCCCAGGGAAATGAAGCCCTAACAAAAGGGGTGATGGGTTTGGGGCAGGGCCAGAGCACAGTGAAGAATAACCAGCGCGAGCCCCTCAAATCAAAGCATCACCCCAGGCCCTTCTTCATACAATCTTGGAGAGGGGGCAGGAGGCATGCTCAGTGATAAATGAATTTGAATTTCCCTTCAGCCTTGTAAAAGGGGGTGGTCAACAGTCTGTATTCAGTAAATCAAAAGAAAGAAATGAGGTATTTCTTGTGCACTGAAGCTGGAGCACTTGTATCCGCTACATGCACACTTTAAAAACCCCACTGTCATGGTAATGAATACCACAACAGCTCTAGAACATGGACTGCTTGGTGGTGGCTGAGGGCACGCTTTTCTGTACTTTTTCCACCTCAGATTCAGGCAGAGGTTGTCACTAACTCCTGGGCTGCCACTTTGGTGCCTGTGCATTAAGAGCTCACATGTCCACAGAAAATGAAACAGATCTCATTTCAAAGAATCTTTTAAAAACTCCAGTAAAGAGTTAAGCAGAAGTCCCAGTGAGTTGTGGTAACATCTTGATGTTTTCTAAGATCATTGTTCTGAACTCTCATTAAAATGGTGTATGAAAATAGAAAAATCTGGCTGAAATGCCAGTGTTAACCCTCCAGTAGCTGGAGGTGGAGCTGGTGGATGTGGAACTGCAGCTGAAAGTAATTAAAAGCAAACTGAAGTTAGACTTAATGTCTTCAAAAGCCTAGAAGATGATTTCTTCCCCAGATAACTAGATTTCAAGTATTAATTTACTTATATCCTACCTCCTTTTAAAAATGTACAAGGAGAGAACAAATCTATGGCTTCCAGAGGTGGGAAAGGGGGAATAAGGGGGGTTAGGGGAAAACTGGGTGAGGGGCACAAAGAATAACTACGATTTGTAAGAATGAATATGCTAATAATATCTATCTGATCATTACATATTGTACACAAATGACAGTCAACACTGTACCCCAAAAATATGTATAATCAATTATGCTTCCATTAGAAATAAATAATAAAAATGGAATAGAGGCAAGTTCAAATACCACGCATGGTCCAAAACTGAGTTCCAGTTTAAATGCTGTAGCTTGCACTCACAGGAACGCGGTGGCCAAGTGACAGGAAAAGCTCTCATCCCAGCAGATTCCCTAACACAACCACCGGTAAGGAGCCTAGACAATGCAAGGTTCTGCTTCCTTCTCGCCCACAGCTGAGACTTTACCTACAAGAGCTTATTTCTCATGCTAGGCAAGCTTGTTAACTTCTGCAGAGGCCTCAGGCAACAAACACGCTTTGAAAATCTAGCACAAAGATTTTTTTTTTTTAAACAAAGGCTGATGTTAAAAAATGGCCAGCAGAGGTGGGGGTGGTTTAAGGGGGATCAGGGGAAGGGCTCAGAGGAGGGGATGGGAAGATTAAAACAGGAGATGAAAGTAAATTTGGGGAAACAGCCAAGCATGGCAGTTATCCCCTTAAGCAAGGAGCAGAAAAACAGGTTGGTTCACTTTGGGGGAGTCAACTCATCCTTCATAGGACAGCACCACAACTTACTGAATGTGACTGTCCTTAAAAGCCTGTAACTTCATGGTTGGAAACCCCTAACTGGTCTTAGTTTGGGCTTATGTGGCAAAAAGCAAATATACAAGGTTTTGCAGTTGTGGAGTCCTCTGATTAAAGCAGATGGCCAATCTGCATATCTTGGGGCCTGAAGGGGATTACCTAAATTGCTATTAACCATAAAATTGATAACTCCTGATTTTACCTTTTATAAAAGGCAAAATGATGTTTAGTTTCCTCTTCCATGCCTCATCGCCAAAGGCCCAGGCAGCTGCAATACTGAGCCTAATGCAGGGAATTGATCATGACAGGAAAACAAGATTCCCTGTTATATAACAAGAAGTTCAAGCTGTGGCTCTTTCCTCAGGGAGCATGATTAATGAACTTATACTAATCTTTAAAATAAAGACATAAGATTTAAATACTGAACACCTGAGAAGTAGATGGAAAAAGTGTGATCCAATTAAGTAGTTTCCAGGGCTTTCCGCTTCCAAGATGGGGGTGTCCTGACTTCTATCCATTATCGATCATTTCTCTAATGGTGCTCTAAGCTCAAGATCTTGGAATGCCAACCTCCACTGGGCACTTGCTCTTTAAAGGACAACAGGTGGAACACTTTGATGTGTAAATAATTTAAAAGCCAATCAAATATTAACAGGATTTCTGGACCCTTCAAAAACAGAGATTTGCTGCACAGGAAGCAAAGCTTGAAAGCTGGATTAGGAAAGGAAATACCACTTGTGAACTAACTTTAATTAAGAGATTACATATCCACTGGAACTCCACGACACAAGTATAAATCTTAGCTTAAGAAGCCCCATTTGTGGTCTCCTCAGATGCAGTGCGGCTGCCATCTTGGATCGAGGCTGCTTGCTGGAGTAGGGCAGAGTGTTACAGACACCTCCACAGCTCAGAGGCGACGGCCCACGGCTCACAGCCCATGGCTCACGGCCCACGGCTCACGGCCCATGGCTGGCAGGAGAAGAGTGAAATCAATGCAGCTTCTAGTCCAGAAGTCCTGCCCCTCTCACACTCAGCACTTCATCTATA